CAAAGACACTGGGTAAGTATTTTTTTTTTTTTTAACGAGTGATTAATGATTTTTCTGCATAATTTTCACATTTTTCTTGGACTGTGTCTACAAATAATGGTTGTGAACTCTACATTCAGCAGAGAGAGCTGCCCATTGCCCATTCTGTTCTTGAAAAAGACCATCTTTTATTTCTTTCTCACGAAAAAGAAGGAGTAAGTGGGGAGAGGAGCTGCAGATGTAGACTTTAATTCAGTAGTAAAGAAGAAGGCTGTGGTAGAAGCTTAGAAGCTGGGACTGAATATTGTCAGGGACATTAAATTGGAATTAGAATTGGGCATATGTAAACCATTACATTATATATATGTATATATTATACACAGAGCTGTTACTTCACCTATGTATGTATATTAATATATACACACACACAGAGCTGTTACTGTACCTATGTTTTATATTTTTAACCTGTCTAATATTTATCTGTTACATTTATTGAATATTCCAACAAATAAGTGGATCTCCAATGTCCTATAAACCAAAAAGCAACCACAAAAAAGTGGCAAATGAAGGGAACAAAAAAACAAACAAAAAAACGAATAATAAAAACCATATTTAGTTCAGAGTTGAAATTCGGTAAGAGAGAGAAAATGAAAATTAATACAAGGCCGTGTCTCACAAAAGAGCCCATTTGTCTTCTTGATTATCTATTTGCTTGTCAGGGTTTGATCCCCCAGTCACCTGGTGGCTTGACATTGGGCTCGACCTTATTTTAGTATTTGGAAGCTTATGGTCTTTTTTCCACTTCATCCTCCTGTTTTGGAACCAGATCTTGATCTGACGCTCAGACAGGCGCAATGTGTGTGCAATCTCTACTCTGCGCCTGCGGGTCAGATAGCGATTGTAGTGAAACTCCTTCTCTAGTTCCAGGACTTGCTGTCTGGTGTATGCTGTGCGGGAGCGCTTGGTTTCTCCCCCAGAATAAGAAGCATTGACTGCAAGAAAAATCACACACAATACAAGTTCTGTTACTGGAGCATATGGATGTCCTTTACACTGAATAATCATGAATAATAATAAAAAAAAAGAAGCACTGTTGTTGAGTAGAGTGTTTTCCTACCCCCAAGCTATGAATTATACACAAGCCCTGCCTAAACCCAGTCCTATATTCCCCCTAGTTGTTACATGAGAGCTATGAACTTTTTAACAGCACCACGTTAAAGTGACAGGATGCAGTGAAAGTTTACCCAATCTGCCACTTAAACACAAATTAGAAACAACATAAAACCTTAATGTAGGAAGGTCCAAGGCACTAAAAAGGGCTTTGGAGAAATGTGAGGAGGATGGTAAACTCTACTTCAAAGGCACTTGGCCAAGCAGAGCAATAAACATTTATGGAGGATGTAATTATACTACCCTGCAAACAGGAGATCGTAAATTTTAAAAAGGGACACACAATTTCCAAGTGCTTGCTTAGTTAAGAGAGCAGAGACAACTGGTGCACTTACCAGTAGAAATGTGCACTTTCTTCATCCAGGGGTACACCACTGGGCTCTGGCAGGATGATTCTGGGGGCTTGTGGTCTAGAGATATTTGGCTGCAGGACGGAGGTGAACTGGAGCTTGTACTCTGGCTTTGATGCTTGTCTTCAGGAAGCAGCCCAATTTGGGGGTGAGTCCGGGGAGACACAATGGAAGACGGCCGTCCGGAACTCTGGCAAGAGGAATAGTCTTGGCTGGTGCAGGCTGGTCGGGGGTAGGTAGCTCCATGCTGGAAGCTGTTTTCTCTCTTCTGGTTGTTGTAATACTCTGGAGAGTGGCTGGAAAGGTAATCACTGTGGGAATATTCCTCACACGGCGGAAATTTGGGGTCCACATAATTGGAGCTGATCAAAAACGAACTCATGGTCATTTATTTGTTTGAATTGCACCAAAAACCATGTACAATTTATTCCTGTAGTCCTAGTCGTTTTCCTGTTTCGTAAAACCCTCCTACTTACTGTCAAGTGAACAAAGTTGGCTTCGCATGTGACAGCAGGAGCCAATAGAATCCTTCCCTCCATCCCCGGATAAGGAAACGTGCTCCATAGCGCAAGAATCACCCAGAATTAAATTGCCCACCCCTCTGAATACATAAAGGGTGTACCATGGAAAGTATCCTATATGAAGATCCAGTCTATGTCGGGAGGCCCCCCTGACCCTTAATAGGCTCTTGTTAATGCACTGTAAAGATGATCTGTCAGTTAGAACCTTGATAAACTCCAATTTTCTAATTAAAAAAGGCACACAAAAAATCCCCAGGCAAAAAGGTGGTGTGGTTGCAGCTGACGCACTGGGCTCTTCGTGTCTGCAGACAGAGGTTTTGCAGAGTGGACTGGCAGAGACAAATATGTCTTGTTTTGGATCGATAGAAAATTCATCAACTAATTCGGGATACTTGCTTTACTAAATTCCATTTAGTCACATTATTAAATTGCTCATTTGAAGTCAGAGTAAGCAACAGGAAGAAGAAAAAAATCAGAAGAAATATGTACCACAGCAAATGATGACCTAGCATGCAAGCAGCATAGAACATCAAGACATAGGGCACGTTATGGTCATTCGTAGTAATAACAATAGGTATAAAATCAGATTCAGCACAAGGTTGTGAGTGATTACAATAGAACACAAAATCGGCATATTTGTTATCATTATCATTATCATAAAATACATTATAAATAGATAAATAGATTCTCACAATCCAGGTGCATTATTGCACGTTCCAAGGTGTCTGTAGCGTTTATGTCAACTGCATATCCCCCCAGACACGAATTTGTGACACCATTGTCATCACACAAATTCGGATCTACAGGGTACATACAGAAGACAGACAAATCTCATATCTTCCTCCAGAGCTGGGGGCTAAAGAAACCCTATTGTGTTGTAAATACATTTACAAATATAACGTCACAAGTTACTAATATGAGGGCAATCAGTATTACAAAAATTAAAAAATAAAAGATTATTGTTACAGGTGAATCATAACCGAAATAATGACAAATATTCGGGTGGGGACACTTTTTATATAGTTGTTTATAATTATCTGCCCTATAATGTACATACAATGATGATGTTTCATGCAAAGCCAATTCTCCTATGCGTTAAAACTTCACAATTAACGTTTCTTTCAACACCAATCATTTAAATGGTCGTTAAGGATTAAACTCTCAACAGGCCATAAATAGCCGAATGAAGTCATTATTCTAAGTAGCAAGAATAGAAACAGTAAAAAAAAAAAAAAGTATATTAGAAGAAAAAAAACATGACATTACAACAGTGTCTTCAATTCAATTTCTTCCACATCTATGGTAGTAATCTGGTGATATAAAATGTCTGCGGAATAGTCGCACGTATCTGCATAAATGACTCAATCAACAGATCGTAATCACAGCACAAACATTCAGCAGGCCACTCGGAGTTTATTAAAAAGTAACAAAAAAAGATACAAATGTCTTTTGTAATCAAGCTACAGAAAACCCGAGTCACCTATGGAGATTGTACCGTGTGTAATTAGTACAGGAACAGAGAGACTGCCTAAAGTAGCGATTACAAGCGATTGTTTCTATCTTTTCAGCTTTTCAACAACTAGAGCTATTAAAAGTAACACAAAACTTGTCATTTTATTTACAGGTCTAATTGGGATAAAAGGGGGATAAGTCATGGCTCGTTTAATATGAACAGCATTTGTTGGAGGTTCATTTACTAAAGGAATTGAGAGTGTTCACCTAGTAAAGAAGACGTTCACTTCACTCATTTAGCTTAGTGAATAAGCAGAAGCTGCGTTAAATTCTATCATCCAATCAGGTGCAAGCAAATATTCCCTTGCGGATAATTGGGTATTCAAAATGCAGCTCCATTTGATTCACAAAGGTGAGTGAGCTTCTCAAAGTGAACAGATGCCAATTATTTATTTTGATGAGAATATATAATGCTGTACAAAATACATTAACATATCACCTGCAAAGGTCTTCTAAAATGTTTTGTGTCCTGCAATGTTTTATGATGGCTTTCAAAATGACAGGTACATAGCAAGCCAATTGGAAAAATATCCCATAATGTAAACATTTCCCTTTGTGGCCTAGTCTCAGTAATGCGAATGATATCACGAATAAACGAATTTCAGCACAAAGCAGCCTTTCAAGTACACAGCAGTGTAGCAAGTGCTACATATGCACAGCACATGCCCCTATATCTATGTTTAGAATATTACTACTACCTGGCGGACCCCCCACCCCCTGCTGAGCCCCACTCCTTCCAGTGACATACCTTTACCAGTCCGTGCCTCAGCCTTGTGCCTTTGTCCATAAAATCATAGAGGGGGGACTAAGCATTCATCTATAGAGGGTATAGATGAATCTCTTTCCTTTCCTTATCCTCTTCCTCATGTAATATGCAATTTAGGGCAGCTTCTTAAAGGGATCTGCTCCTTCTCTTGGTCAGTGGCAGGCCTTGTGAGCATATTTGATGCACGGGTCCCCGTTTTTTGGGGGGGAAATTAATCTCATACTTTTGTCAGTCTTTGTTAAACAGCAAGGCGTGGTGTGTGATTGCCTTTGGCATTTTCATATTAGTTACAAGCTGTGACCTGCGTTTCACCCTCTCCTGGCCTCTCCCACTCTGCACATTCAGGAACCACGACTGCTGAGCAATACTAGTGTGTGTGTGCAGCTTTGATTTCTGGACCAGGATTCAGAAACAGTCTAGATCCAT